CAATATACTGTATGATTGTGTTGGAACAAAACTTATAAGTACATGAAATGAATTTGAATAGATGGGGGTTACTATGGTAACGGTCGAGAAACCAGACTTCTCTACTAATTGACATTAATTGTATCTTAACATCTATATATCATAACTTTGCAAATAATTGATGAGAAAGGCTTTAAGAAATTAAAAGATTTAGATGTTAATACAATTAAATGATTAGAAGGGCTTTTATGTAATTTCACTAAAACACAAGCTGAATTCAGTTGTACCTAATGTTTAATCGGATATCAAACACTGTAACATATCAAATTTACCCCTAGCTTTAAATGTTTAAAAAGACATCCAAGTAATTACAACAAAATTAAATTAATTATAATGACTCATATTCAATACTCTAATTGCACTCCAAACACTCTTACATTTCCAAAAGAACCCCACCCTTGCGGTTAAAATTCAAGCTCTAAACTCATTCTTATACAGTATAAGGATATATATTGAAGCTGAAATCCAACATAATCAAAGTTTTAATTAAATTTAAACATGACGACAGAATGTGGCTAGGTTGCGCAGGCGGAAATGTGTATCTAACTCTCCCCTACGAGAGCGTGAAACTGCCATCCCCCAAAGTAAAGCCCCTTCTTCTTCTTCTCTCTCCCACCTTGGTTGGACCAGTGACTGAGAGAGTAGCGTACAAACAACTCTCAGCCGAATCGCATAAATCAACCGTTCCCCCTTCCCCTTCGCTTTTCCTTTAAATATAATCTCTCTCTCTCTCCCCATCTTTTGACTCCTTTATTTATTTATTCATTCATTTTTGCCATTTCCAACTCTTAAAATTGTAGTAGTAAAACATCAGCGAACAGGGAAAATTAGAAAAATGCCCGCGCTCTCTCATTTCTGTTTTCCCTCGACCTCTCCGTATGCGTAACCCTAGCTTTTTCCCTTTCTCTCTCTCTGTATCTTCCTCTCTTTCTCTCTCCGTATAAATTATCCCTCCAGTTACTCTCTGCGCGAATTTCATCCCGCTATCATCCAAATTCAAGAAATATCCCGGTAAGATGAATTGGATGGAATTTGTGATGGTTTTAGTATTTGTAAATTCGTGTTAATTATATTAAGTTGGATGAATCTCAGATGTGGATTGCAAAAATGTCAGAAGCCATGTGCAATGGAGATTTTTCTTTGTAATTTTTAAATGAGCAAACTTTGCTACTTTTTTCGTCCAGGATTATTTTATTTGTATTACCGCGATTAGTTTATTCAATTATCTAACTGTCTAGTCGCGTGATTATTTGGGTTTTGCACGTTATCTGGTGATTTGGATGTATTATTCTGATACGGCCACTCTCAATACTATAAAAAGGTTGAAATTTTTTTCTTTTGGGGGAATGTACGAGGAATGCTTAGGTTCATTTCATATCGGTAAGATCCAGATACGATCGAAGTGCGTAGGTGGGTTTGCTTGCTTTTCTCAAATTTAGATTGCATGTTTGTTGGAGGATTAATTCTTTGTTTCGCCATTGTTTTTGTTGTACTGATCAATAGTCAATTATTCGAGGTGAATGAAGGTATAATTTGGCTACAATTGTTGTTTGATTGAATCGAATTACTCAAGACATGTTCGTTGTGTGCCATAATTTGGGGAGAAATGATGATTTGTTGGTGGGTAGCATATGCATAATAAAAAAAAAAAAGAAAAATTCTGAACTTTCTAATTGTCAATTATTCACTCATGAATGATGGCTGGCAGTGAGGTTAAGCAGTCTAGAGTAAACTGGATAAAGAATTGGAAGAGACCGATATTTTTGTACTACTTTTTTGTCCTCCCATTTACACCTTGAGTTGTTGTGCTGCTGAAAGAATTAATGACCAGTTGTTAAGGTCATCTTTGTTTTCTGGATCATCTGCATCTCTATTATTCAGAGTTTATATGTTTAAGGGATACATGCCTCCAATTGACCTGTTTGTCTGCTTATTGTTGCTGGTTAATTTTGTCCTCTACCATCTGTTAACTGAATGCCATAGAATCTCTAAACATTGAAAACTGGTTTGCTACATGTTTTACTAAGCATGATATATCTATATACAACCAGGTCATTTGCTTTATGGCTCTTTTCTAGTAAATTCCAATTGCATCAGATTAGCATGTTTGGAAAATAGGTAGCAAGTTTACAGCGAGAATACATGGTCTTGTTCTCTTAGATGCAATTCGGAATATCTTGTCTTTTATGTGGGCCCTGAACCACCAATCTTTATGTAGTTATTTGAAAATTTTCAGTTATTTGAATGTTGATATTTTTAAGCTGTATCACGTATTTCATCTATCATTGATGTGTGGAAGCAGTTCTTTTGAGTGTAATAGAGGGTGACTTGTGCTTGAAAGCGGTAGTTTGTCTGTAATTGCAAACGAGCAAGGCGCAGCTAGTGCTTGTTAGTTTGGACACTTATTTTCTGATCTGATGGTCCTCTATGTGCGTAGAGGCAGGATGCATGTCCCTTTATCATGATGGTGGGAGCAGTAGTGGTTATCAACTATTGTTTGTTGTTTTCACATGATCTTTTGAGTCATACAAAGGTTACAGGATTTGTTCAGATAAGTTGTGAAATGCCTGTTTGGAAAAAGGAGTGTTTCTTGTCTCTTGGACGAATTTATTATCAGTCTGTTATTTAGTTAAATAGTCTTTGGTGAAAAACTAGTAGTAATTTCTTTGCCTGAAATGGATCTTTATATTCACTATATGTGGACCTGTCCAGATGTGATATGTTCTTTTACATTGTACAACAACTTTTTTTGTGCTTGGCATGAAATGTCCAAATGTTCTGTGGTCTTCGAATATTATTCATGATGTCCCACTATTCACTGTCGATAATTGTGCCGAATGTGAATTTATAACTGTTCTATTCAACTGACAATTGTTGCATATGGTGATATGCTTTCTGATGCATGTGTTTATTGATGCTGTGTGAATCTTGTTTGTAGTAGGGGAAGATGGTTGGTGCAATAATTTAATAGTTCAGTGCTAGATTGATTTGAGATGTTACTTGTAGTTGAGCTTCAAATGTAGATTTTAGAGATGTGCTACATTGCTTTCTTGTTTGTCATTATCAACAGGGTATATTGTTTGATGATGTTTCCAATTTTACTTGCAGATTTATTAAGGAAATGGCAAAAGGTACCAGGGGGAGACGCAGGTTTGCTTCTCGCCAGTGCAGGCAAACCCCATACCCATTACCATGTGGTAATCAGTCTGAGAAGATGCAGCGGAAGAAATGCTCCAAAACACTTGTCAAGAAAGACTGGGAAGATGCCACTTGTTCTGTATGTATGGAGTATCCCCACAATGCTGTTCTCCTTCTGTGTTCTTCACATGAAAAAGGTTGCCGTCCCTATATGTGTGGAACTAGTTTTCGCTATTCCAACTGCCTTGACCAGTATAGGAAAGCCTACACAAAAGTGACATCAGCTGATCACAATCAACATCTTGATGGTACAATTGACAGCCCAGCCATGATTCCACCAGTGTCTGGTTGGCCCATTGATAAATGTGAAGTCACTGAACTTGCATGTCCCCTTTGCCGGGGCCAAGTGAAGGGCTGGACAGTGGTTGAGCCGGCACGAGAATATCTGAATGCTAAAAAACGAAGCTGTATGCAGGATAACTGCTCATTTATAGGAACTTACAAGGAGTTGCGGAAACATGTTAGGGCAGATCACCCTTCTGCTAAACCTCGTGAGGTGGATCCCCTTCTTGAACAAAAATGGAGAAGACTTGAGCGGGAGCGAGAAAGAGAGGATGTTATCAGCACAATAACATCATCAATGCCAGGGGCAGTCGTTTTTGGTGATTACGTGATTGAAGGAGGTCATTATGGTTTTATTTCGGATGAGGAAGACGGTTTTGATGATGATCACCTGGACCAAAGTGAAGGTTTTGAGTTTGGTGTTGATAGCAGTTTGGCAAGGATTGAAAGCAATTTGAGGAACGTCTTCCTTGTTTTGCAGAGAATTGATCCTGCAGGTAATATGGGATCAAATAGAGGTATCAGGCGGCAGGAGAGGAACTCTAACCATACATTGGAGGGAGGAACTGTGGTAGGTAGTCGCACCTCCCGTATTGGGAGCTTTGACTATTCAGATCAAGACAGTGAAAGTGACAATGATGACAATGCAGTTATTCCTCGTGCCAGTGATCGTTTGTCACTTGTGAATCGTCTCCGTAGTCAAGGCAGAGTCCTCTTAGGGCGTTCTGGGAGGAGACGGAGGCGTAGGGAGGCCAATCGGAGCCGCAGATGAAGTTTTATTGGTGGTTGGAAAATGTAGAGTTTAGGATGGGTGAATTTTAGGACCTAGTTAGTGATAGAAAAAAAATTTAGCTGTACTTCTGACATTGTCTTTATATTGCCAACACCGATTCATGTTACATGGTTTGATGGGGTGTATGATGGTGTGATTCCAGAACCTTGAGGGTTGAAGAAAGGTAATTCTTCTGTAATTTTTAGTTGTAAGTCTATGGGTACCTCTCTCTTTTCAAACGCTCAACCCTCGTTCCTGACATCTCAACTTCTACGTCTCTTTCCATATTTGTCTTGGCTTCTCCACTGAGCTTTTCTTCAGAACTGTTTTTGTTCCATCAGCGTTCGTCATTTCCTTTATTTTCTTCTCCGAGCAAGAATTTTATCCCCTAGTACTGGTTTGAATTTTCATTTATGACCCGGAATCCATAGCCACTCGACATCAGTCTAATTATTCGAATTCCTTTGTTTAATTATGCGTTTTAGACCCTTAGGCACCGTTTGGATTGAAGGAAAGGAAGGGAAAGAATATCAATGGAAAATTTTAAATTAAATTAATTTTATTTCTCTCCGTTTCCACCTATTTTTAAACAAAAATCATAACTCAACAAAATAATTAAATTTTTTCCTTTCTCAAAAATTAATCCAAACAATAAAAGTCAAATCCCTTCAATTTCTTTGCCTCCCACTCAAATCCTAACGGTGCCTTGGTCATTTTCCACGATCATCCTCATAGTCACTCACACGTTCAAAAGAAAATTGCTGGAATTTTCTGGAGTTAGCAAGCCAACTCAAAAGCAAAATGAGGTTTTGGAGTTCGCATGGACAATAATGTAAAATTGACTTGTAGATTATACTAAGCTTGTCAAAGAATGAAACTATTCCCTGGCAAACAAATTTCAGGGGGATAATACGACAACTCTTTTCTTTTCAGCTATACCTGTCGGAACACCATAGCAAACGGGAGAAGCTCCGATCAAGAAAGGTAGATTACAAGCTTTGCGAGCTTGCCCCATGAATGAACCAATCTTGGGTCTGCGGTTACAAGTACTACACACACTCACACAACTATCAGGTGATTTATTTCTTGTTCTTTCTTTTCCATTTCCTCTAGTCTCACCGATATTTATGGACTTAAATTTGTCCAAGAGCATATCACATCTAGTGCACCTCTCTGAAACAACCGATCTTTCTCTCAACCATGCGTCCAGCATAGCTTTACCAAATCTATCAATGTCCTTATCAGTCACTTCCCATAAATTTGCTACTGTAACAGGAGAACCAGCTAAGAGATAGCAGAGTGGGGTACCATGGGGAGCATAACATCCGCTCATAGACAAAGATCCACTACAGCAACCCATGAGTAGAGTAGCAGCACATCTATTGAGCTTCTTAATCTCGTGTTCATTAACATATTGGGATCCTGAAGTTCAACAGGTACATTCAAGTGTCATTTATCAACACAGGTAGTCTATAAAGATGCAAAGAATAAGGATAAACTAGCCACGGAAGTCATTATCCAGTCATAGCAATTGCAAAAAGTTCAAATAATCCATACCACTTCCATGGCCAATATAAATGAAGAGGTCATAGATTTTCAATGCCCCCACCAATTCTTCACTTTTAGGCACAGTTCCTGTCTTCCCCTGTAAAGCAAGTCAAGCAAGCATTTGATGTATATGCTACGACCTTGCATTTCAAGTTTCAAATAAAAAGTAGCAAACTAGTACAATGCAGTAAAAAACACTTGACTAATGACACACGTGAACAGATGATCGTTGTCTATTCCCAGAAAGCATAGATTTGAATGCAATTTGAACTACATATTCCTGTTTTCCAACTGTCTAGCTAATCAAGAAATAATTACCTCAAACTTCTGATCTCTGAACCAATTCTCAAATTCAACCTGTGTGCGGCTAAGATCACCACTGGGATTCAACACATAAAAGGAATCCAAGGGATCTATAACTGGGAAAGCTTCACCCTGCTCAGGCAGCTGATCCTGATACTGATGGCATCTAGCAAGTGTGGTACAGATACTGCCAACAGAAGGCATGCGATAGACTTCTTCATTTCTTAGTATTGGTAGACTCTCCCAAGGAAGCATCTGCATGGAGTTTTTGATCAATTACTAGATCTAGAAATTGCCTTTCCTTTCATCCTTTTATTCCAAAAAATATATGTAAATGAACATGGTATGATTCGTCACCGACTGCACAAGTCACTCAAGTACCTGATTGAGCTGTATCCAGCTAGGGTAGTTGAAGAACAAACAAGCTTATGTTATTTTGTTAATACTTGCAGTTAATGTCAATCAGATTATCCAAGCATATATCAATCTTACTGTGGTTCACTTTACAATTCAAAAAACTACCAAAAGATCTACCCAATTAGCCTTTTAAAACTGTTTTAATCATTATTTTACCCATATTTTGATTACACTAAACTTTCCTCTTGCTGGTTTTCCAAGGGACTTGTTCACCTGTGCCAGTTTGGGGTATGAAAGAGTTCTGCTAACAAGATATGAAACCCGAGATCATTTGAGTTAAAAGTATCATTGTCAGAATGGACGTCTTTGAGATTATGATAGGACCAAGAGAGGGTTCCAGTTTCAAAAACTAATCCTACCATATTCTCAGCTTCCACTTCCAGAGCAGTTGGTTCTGAGGGAAGTGTAGAAAGCTGAGGGAAAATATGTTTTCTCATGTCTGTTAGGTTGATAGGAAATGTAGATATTTTTTTTACTTTTTTACACTTTCCAGCATTTAGTGTACTCTCAAATTGCAGGATTTTGTAGGAGAGTTTTGTTACAGAAACTTCAACTATCTATTGCTACCAATTTCCCTTATAACTTTGTTGACGATACACAAAGTATTGTGCATTTTCCTTCATCTCATCTTATTGCAATTTGTTTTTTTGACATAACTTTCACCGTATTCAAACAAAGGGGTTGATATTGTTCATAGACTCTGTCAATCCCACACATAACTTTCCCCTAAGTACAGTGCTCCAGGAAACTTTTAATGATAAAAACGAGTTAAAAAACACTGAAGTAAACAGTAAGTGAGAGATACCCAAATCGCACCTGCACCGCAGAGTCCAAAACAAGAGTGACAGGCTTCCGGCCAAGGCTTTCAGTCTCTGCAAGTGCAAGTCCTGTTTCAAGGATTGTCTCAAACACTTCCAGGGAAAGTCTTCTGACTTCAGTAGACGCATTGGATAATGCCTCACAACATCCACCAATGTAACATCCTTTGTTAATAATAAGCTGTAACCCACATTCTCTTATTTCAGAAGAATACAAAGCACCACCAAGAATAACTTCAGCAAGATCCTTATCAACATTCACTTTACATTTGTGCAAAAGACTATCCATTAGATTCTTTCCCAGAGACTTGACATGTTTGCTGTCCAAACAATCCCCTAACAGTAAGTATTTCCAAGGACCTAGCCATGAATCTTCCAAGTACCTGAGTCAAAAAGATGCTGTATTGTAACATTGCTTGCCATAAACATCAGGATTTCAAAAGGATCTTATCAAATTCAGGAAAACAATTGCTTAAGCCAATAATTACGGTATAACATAGAATAGGGAAGCCTAATAAGGGAAAGATTCCCACGCAACCAAGGGCATGGAATATGGCTTTCATCGAAGCTAATGGTGTAATATACATATACATATATACAAACACATGCAAATATGTGTATATGCATGTGTTTGCATACATACATATGCATGTGTGTATGTATACAAGTAACCGTCCTCTTCATTCTAATCTAGACAACAGATATCACTGTCATTTACAACTTAGATATAACATTGCATGAGGTCCCCATCACATAAACACTCCAGATTTTTCTCTTGCTAAAACTCATTGAGATTTACTTTAAACCAAATTAGACATTACCTAAGAAAAATAGACATTGCAGTCAGATTATATTTGAGATCCATCTTAATCAGTTGTATGATTGATCACAAACAAATGAAAAAGTCTCAAATGACAATGCACACATTCATTTCTCCTTAGTGCAGGCAGAATTATATTTCCAGGGGGAGAAAGACTTACTCCAAAAATTTACCAAAGCAATCATCAAGCCTTTTCCTCTGTGACCACCATAGTACCCTGTTGCTTGTAGAGTCTTCTTTTGGAGATGCTGAAGACAAGTAATTCTCCCTTAGTATAGATCTGAAAGCTGGGGCAATTTCATCCACCACGGTATAGACCCATGGACAGCGCCACTGGCTGACAAAATCTTCGCCTTGTAGGGAAATATCAAATGATGCTTCTGCAAACAAAGTATCAGACAAGTGAAAAGGGGTAGCCTGATATTAATGTCTTATAAGAGATCCTGTATATAGTATTCTCCCAGGTTACACAAGGAGACACCAATTTTGGTGACTCAAAGTTGAATTAAACATGCAGATTATAAACTGATGATTTCCAATTTTACATAATAAGCTAAAAAGCATTTAAGACAACTGTGTACGTTAATTTGAAAATAGTGAACAGATTTCAATGCCATCCATGCTAGTTTTCCAATTATCCAACATAGGGTAAACTTTACCAAGGCATTCTCAATGTTGAAGTTCTTTTTGTCAAAATTACTCCTTTATTCAGGATATCAGAACATTCTTACCGATATTCAACTCTTTTAGTCCTCATTTGGCTCAAACATTTTCAAAGCCAACTTAAAAAACGCAAGCATGGTTACCTTCTAACAGTGATTCTATAGGCAGAACTAGGAATATGGGATGGCTTTTAGAATTCAAGCGGGACAAGAGGATCCATGCTCGAGCAGAGGTACAACACAATAGCTCTCTCAACAGAATGGCATCAGCACCTCCTATAACACTAATACAGATTATGGTAGTGCAAGGGAGTTCCTGGAAGAATCTCATCACATATTTGCCCAAACCTTCTAGTGAATCAGGTGCAAGCCTGCATCAGGAAGAAAGATCTTAGAAACATGGAAATGACTGAACTTTGTAAAATAGTGAAAAATTCTCCCAACAAGGCAAATCAAAACCTGAGGAAGCTAATGGCACTGAGGGAAACAAAATTTGAGCTAGAAAAAGAACAATCCTGTAACAGAAACACGAGGAATGAATATCAGGAAACACTGTTAGCATTCAAAACAATATGCAACTCAGTAGAAGTAAATAAGAAGAGCTATTATGAGCAGAAAATATGCACATTAGACCAGAAATCATGTTTTTAACAGCCGAAAGTCTGCTGTAGCAACAAGAAAATCATGAAACAGAGAGGCCAGAGTTCAAGAATTAACAGTTTCAGACCAACCAAAGGCAGTCTGTCATAACTGCCTCAAAACTTACTAAGGAAACAAAAGGTCAGCACCATTTTTCCTGTCCACAAAGATGGTTGTTGATCTAATGAAGGGCAAGCAAAGCCCAGTATGGTGCCTACCAAACGGTGGTATAGTAAAAGCAGAAAATTCAAAGAAATCAACAAAACATCAAAGAGATACCAACACACTACTGCAGAAGAACAAAGCATATATCAGAACGCATACCTCAAGACCCATCATGCCTTCAACTTTTGGCTTCCTCATCATGCTAGAAAGTAGCTGCTGGTTAAAATGACTACCAATCGAAGCTTGGTGGAAAAATGTAGCCCAGTGACTTTGAGAAACTGCTTCATCAGGTGACATAGAAAAAGCCTCAACTGAGGTCGAAAGCATGTAGAGCACAGTAAGCAACCTGGAAACCTGTTGCATTGCATTTTGGGTTGGATGTCAATTACCAAATGCTATCTAACTAAATGGAAGGTAAGACACCACAGTTAACCTATGTTAGACCAATCCAAATTCAAATCTGATTGTCAGAAACTGTCATTGGCAGATTAATGCATGATCGTGGTGTCCCATACTGGTACACGATGGGAACCATTATCACTAAATTCTAATAACTAACCAACCAGTGATTTCATTAATAATAAGCCAAGAGGCAATATATGGCATGGTCATCGTATCAAGCCTGAATCTGCTGTATCTAAGTTGGTTCAAAGCATGAAAAAATATAAAGCTCTGAAAAGACCTAACCTTCTGAGAAAGTAAGGGAACTTGACAGCAGAGCATAAATGCCAGCTTCAACCAAGAAAAGATTCTGGGAATCCCAATACATGACAATTGGCAACCATTCTCCCTGGTTGACATAAGAGAAAAAGTGAGACAGAGTAGCACACAAATATTAGATGGGCTCAAGAAGCACCAGTGTGAAGGCAATCCTCATCTATCAGGCAAATCGAAAATAATCACAAAGAAACAAGTAGGAACAAATTATACAGAAAAGAATAACATCATTTCAACTGGAATTGTTATCTCTATAAGGTATCCCATATGTGCCTAAACCAGAACTTATTTCCACAAAAAAAAAAGAGCTCATTTAAACAGCTACAACCTTCTTAGTCATATAACCAGTTAACTCCTAAAGTTGTTCTCACTCTTGTGAATTTTAAATCAAAAGGAACTCCATTAATTTTGACAAAAATATCAGTGACTACTGGCTATTAAGTTGACCTTCATGACATAGCATGTAAGAGATGTATGCACATAGTATAATGTGTTGGATAGACAGATTATTGAGTTATACTCTGCAACATATACCTGGCAAACCCAAAAGAGTAGTGTTTCACAGCAATCCGGCAGATATTGTAAAGTAGCATTGCATGCTCAACAGCAAATACATCTCCTTGGATATCCTTATTGATTGAATCAATTAAGGACATAGAGGAAAATGAACAGTACTTTGGACAGGATGGATTCCCCAGCAGTGATACACTCATCAAAACAATCTTATGTGCATTATGGTCATCAGCATAAGTGCCCAAACATTGCCCTGTAGCCAACAGAGAACATGCATGGTGTAAAAGTTTCCAGACTAGTGAACAAGAAAAGAAATAAGCAATGAAAGTGACAAACAAAAATGTTAATTTAGAACTGAAATTTATGTTTTTAGATGCTTTGTACACAGCGAGTATCAGCCTAGCATGACTATCTCCATGTTTGTCCAAGCATATGCAAATACTACATTACCAAATATTCTAGCAGCCATGCAGCAACACATGCATTAAGTCCTAGTCCGTGCAGCAACACATGCATTAAGTCCTAGTTAGTTTAAGTCAAACGATAAATTTCAACTCATGCTACACTCACAACTAATATCACTATGCCCATCTTTGTCCAAGTATACTCAAAAAGAACCTGACCAACATTCTACCAGAAGTGCTGGAACACAAGCATTGCTTCAGGTTCAAACTGTAATAGATGCTCAACTTAAAATTAACCAGACAAATATGCAATCCATTTTCTC